TGTGTGTGTGTGTGTGTGTGTGTGTGTGTGTGTGTGTGTGTGTGTGTGTGTGTGTGTGTGTGCAGAAAGGTGCTTGGGCTGCATTGGCACGGCAACCCTCTTCACAATTAATCAGCCCTGCCATCCTCTCCTCCCTGGGAAATGGATGTAAGCAAAAAGTTAAAAGACTTAATCCATAAATAAATCACAGAGTAAATAATAGGTTTTTGTGTTGCCCACGACAGCAGACAGGGCTGTGTGTAAGCAAGGGGAGGGAGAATATTTACTCACACACGCTGCACATGCTGGATGATGCAAGACCGCTAAAGACAGTAAATATGCATTACTGCCGGCTGGTACACTCTAAAAACAAATGCCTTGGCTCAACAAAGAAAATCAACGCAACAGTTTGCATCGATGTTTATTGAGTTAAGACAACTTCTAATGAAATTGTCTTAAAGCAACAAAGTTATTTGAGTTAGGGGAGAAGGATTTTCCTCTACAATCAGAGGTGTTTTTAATTACCACTTACTTAATAATTGGTATTATAAACACAAGGTTTGAAGTTGATTACTCAAAAAATTAAGTTGTTCCAACTTGTTTTACCGTATGATTTAAAAGGAATTTTAATTTGTATGTACTTAATTACCATCATTGTGAACACACGTTTTTAAGTTGACAACCATTTATAAATGAAGTTTCTCCAGATATATTGTATTCAATAGTTTTTTTTCTTAACTTTTTCATGTTTTTGCCTTTAAAGAAAGAAATTAATTGATTCCACAACAAAAATATTAGGNGGGTGACTGCCAACAACTTGCATTTCAATGACAACTCTAAATAACGATCCTACCTCAAGAAGCATGTCCTTGATCTGCTTCACCAAGATTTTCTTTTAATAAAAAGTTATATCACAATAGTAACCAAAGTATTTTTTACACTCACAGTAGCCTCTACTACTTTGTATCCTCTCACAGAACTATTCAAAGTTCAAAGGCTGCTAATTTTGGTCAAACAGCAATTTGCCTATACAGTGCAACTACAAGGCTATCTACTGTATTTGAATGACAAAAGATGACACTCACATTAAAATGTCCTTTGTATATTTCTATTTGTCTTAACTGTCGGAACTTGTCCAGGCATGTTAAGTGGGAGTGGACTTGAAATCCTTAACTGAAGGTGTAGAACAATTAAGTTATCAAGCCAATTGTTACTACAACTTGAATTTAGTTTTAAGTCAATTAACGCAGAAATCAGAGTTTAAATTACACACAATATTAAGTTGATGTATTACGTCAACACAACTTATAAATGAATGTTTGCAACTTAAAATGTTTATCTGAATCAATTAATCCAAATTTGGATCTTGCAACCATGCATTTAATTAAGTGGTGGTAAAAGGTCCCCTGAATGACTTTTTAGAGTGTAGGTGTGGATCCAGACACTCTTTATTTGGATGTCTCACTTGTCACACTTTGTGTTTTTGTTCTGCTTTCTTTCTACTTTTTACCATTTGCACATTTTCCCTTTGAAAGCCCTTTTCTGCCTCTGCCGTTCTCACTTTCCCTCTTCGTCAATCTGTTATTGTCTTACTCCTTCTCAAGGGTTTCGACTCTGACTGTTCTCTGCTGCAAGATTTAATCTGATGTTGAATAACAAATTGTTGATGAGTCACTGTCTTTCAAACACATTTAGTTTATCTTTATTGTGGCTTATATTGCACATTTATCAAATATGGCCTCTCGTCCTATAAAACAAATGCCTCTGAAAAACATGCCAGCAGCCTTTTCGAGCCACAGGGACCCTCCAGGCAGTTTCTCCGCCCTGGCTGGGCTCATGACCCATACTTTTTGGAAAAATATCCTGGAACACTAAAGTTGAACCATTCCAATATTTGGTGCTTAGCTTGTTTTAAAGTTTTTTTTTATAATGGACACAGTGTTCTGAAAAACAGGTGAAAATGCAGATTGATCTTGTTTTTCAACTGGCTGCACGACATGACTTTGAGCCTGGTTGGCATGTGATGCCTCGCTCTTGCATTCAGTTTTGAGGCATATCAGTCACTTTGTTAGTCAGTATCTGCATGCATCCTAATTTAAAAAGACAATCCATAGTAGGGCTGAACAATTAATCGATTTTAAATCGAAATCGCGCGATTATCAAATCGCAAAGCCTGCAATGAAAAAAAAAAGTTTAAGTGTTTTGTTCTTGTGTGTCAGTCATCCACACCAATCAGAAGTGCTGTGCTCCACATGTACCAGCCATTGTTAACCAATCAGAAGTGGCCCATGATAGTAGGTGATAGACAGATTGATCCAATCACCTGACAAGTATTTTTGAAAGTGCCTGCCCTTTCCAAATGGCTTCCAATGGAGCTTTCCTAGATGGTTTGGTGAAACAAATCATCTGAGTCAGGTTAGTAATGCTCCATCACATGTTTCTATTACAGGGTGAATCTGAAACTGAAGCTTGACTTTAAAGCAACCCAACGGAAGTTTCATGTAAGTTTAGTTCTTTCACTCGTAGCTCGGGCTGCGGGGGTGCTAGAGACGGGAGCATGTTGATGTGACCTTCCTAGCCGGAGATATGGCCGCATATTTATAATAAACTTCCGTTGGGTCGCTTAAAAACAAATATCGCAATTCGAATCGCAATCGCAGTATCTGTCAGAAAAATCGCGATTAGATTATTTCCCCAAATCGTGCAGCCCTAATCCATAGGGATCTTTAACCGCTCTCTTTTGCCTTTGTGAGATTGAAGTTTGGCTGATACTGTATATATCACATCAAATATGTCATGGAGAACAGAGGCATATATAAAGATCTAATATGCCTTCAGGAGACGGACTGATTGACATGAATACCTTCAAAAAGTGTGACACAATCAGTACAGGTCTTTATTCTTTTCAGGCTTTTTTTATTTCAATTTTGCATATCTTTTCTTTCTTCACTGAAGTACTTTTAAGTTATGTCTCGCTAGATCTTTTGAAAAGAAAAGAAGAAATTCTGAACTCCTTGACTGTGGATGGTTTTTATTACAATACTTTTAGTTTAACAGTTCCTCTGGAAATGTACAGCCCAACATGTATGGAAACCTTGTGTAATTAACTATCACCAACCTTTAAATGTGTGAAACCTCAGTCTTAATATAATACATGTAAATGAATTCCTAATTTAGTAATATGCTGTACTTCAAGCTTGAGGTGAGAAGACACTCATCAGCTTTGGATTCCACTGCAGCCTCCATTGTTCATGCGGGGGAGGAAGAAAGAGATCAAAGACGAGGAATTAACCAAACTTTCAGTTCACAGGACAAGTTTCAATTTCAAACCCCATCTACAGCCTGTGAAAGGATTTTACATACCAATTGATTCGGAAAAAATGATTAGAAAGATTTCCTTCCAGTAAGATATGTGAGCTTGTGTAGCCAAGGAGGTGCCAGTGGTAGATTGATGTTTACAGCTTTAAGGTTAATAAGGCATGGTAATGCAGATGTGATTTCTATGTGAGAGATTTGCACTCGTCAGGATGCCTGTCAATCAGGTCAAAACTCTGTACGTTTTATTTCTCTTGACCCATCTTTACCTTTCCAGCCAAACAGCCGCATGAAGGTTATCCCTGGCCTGATGTCCCTGTCAGGTTTTAGAGCTCATCGCACTGCTCCAATTTCACCGAAAGGCTCATCCAGGGCAACCCTATAGCTGATAATCCATCATAGCTGATGGTACTGGGTGATACACACACACACACACACACACACACACACACACA